GGAGGAGGAGGAGGAGGAGGAGGAGGAGGAGGAGGAGGAGGAGGAGGACAACTGTAGCAGAGGTGGTATCCAGCAGGTTCCGACCAGTTCTGGAGAACCAGTAGTAGAAACTTTGAGTAGTTTGGAGAATCAACAAATCCCACCTCTGACTGGTCCCGCCCCCATCTCTTCTCTGCCTCCCATTGAGTCCCAGCTGATTGGCTGGGTCTCCTTTGGTTGCCCTGCACAGGAGAACGGAGCTGGAAAGCAGGTTATAGTGGGGTGGGGAGGGAAGGGGGATTTTGCAGTACATCCTTCCCCTGCCACGCCCACCAAGCCACATCCACAGAACCGGTAGTAAAAAAAAAATTGAATTCCACCACTGGAACTGTAGGGTCCTTCTTGCAGGCATTTCATTACCCAGCTAGGCAACATAATCAAGGCTGGAAACGGGGAGGAGGAAGAGGAGGAGCAGGAAGAGGGCTGTAGGGTCCTGGGTGCTCTCTGATCTTGTTTGTTTTCTTGCAGGCATTTTATTACCTAACTAGGCAACATCATCAGGGCTGGAAGGGGAGGAGGAGGAGGAGGAGGAGGAGGAGGAGGAGGAGGAGGAGAGGAGGAGGAGGAGGAGGAGGAGGACTGTAGGGTTCTGGGTGCTCTCTGAGCTTGTTTGCTTTCTTGCAGGCATTTTATTACCTAACTAGGCAACATTATCAGGGCTGGAAGGGGAGGAGGAAGAGAAGGAAGAGGAGGAGGAGGAGGAGGAAGAGAAGGAGGAGGAGGAGGAGGAAGAGAAGGAGGAGGAGGAGAGGAGGAGGAGGAGGAGGAGGAGGACTGTAGGGTTCTGGGTGCTCTCTGAGCTTGTTTGCTTTCTTGCAGACATTTCTGGTTGACTTGCTGGTTTATCTCTCGTGCTGTTTTGATCAACCCAATGTTTTACAGTTGTCTTCTTCGTGTTTTGTTGACTGCTCAGAAACAGTTTTCCCTAGAGGGAGATCCCCAAATTCTTAAGTAAGAAAAGAATGCAATTTTTTTTTTTAAAAGGAAGCCTCATAGCCTGAGTGAAAAACTGGGACGAGGAAAGGAAATTGAGATTTCTCTGCAGGCATTTAGAATTGGATAGGACTCCACCAGAAAAGCGAGGTTGGTTCGCAGGAGATTTTAAACAAAGGTCTTTGCTTCTGAGATCTTAAATTTAAGCTCTATGGGGGTTCCAGAGTTAAGGGTTTACCTTTTGCCCCCGCTTTTCGTGTTGAGGAAATCTTTTCTATCAGCAATTGGTCTGATGTATTGCATTCTTGCAGATGAGTTTGTAGACCATACATTGTTTAAAAACCAGTTGGAAAATGGCTCCTGGTTTTGTCATGCCCCTGTCAGAGTCTGAATCCCAGGAGGGAGGCGAACAGCTGACAGGCAGTGGGAGTGTGGCTCCATTGGCTGTGGAGGAAACTGGGGAAGGGCAAAGTCCAGCTGGTCAGAGCAAGAGAGAGGTAGAACAAGGGAGAGGGAGTTCAGAGGCCCACCCCCTCTTCATCCTAGGGTACGCAGGGAGGAACTGAGAAGAGAGCAATGTGGGTTGCATGGCTTACGGGGGAGGAAAGGGCCCTGGTTCCCTTCATTAGCCACACCTGGGAATGAAAGTTTAAAAGAGATGCATGCTGAGTGCTGCATCTGCTGGGAACAAACGTGAGTTTATCTTGTGTTGTCTTTGCTTATCTGTGTTCCTGGTATCTTACACTGCCGTGCCTTCACATCTGGAATTCTTGCTCCTATCCTGTCGGACTAATTACCTCATTTTGCCTGGATTGGATTTAAAGTTACAGTTTTTGTTGACCATGTTTTGGACTTGATTTGTTATAGTTAAAAGCTGTTCCTGGGAGAGTTTTTCTCCAGCCCAGAAGGAAACCAGGACATTGGGGGCAAAGTTGGAGCTAATAAAGGGACTCCTCCTGATTCTCTGACTGTGTTGCCTTTGTGCTCCGGGGGACTTTGCAACTATCATAAACATGAGTCATGTCCGAAGGTCACAAAAGAGACCTTGGGACACAGCAACTGTCATAAGTATGAACCAGTAGCCAAGCATCCAAATTTGAATCATGGGATCACGGAGATGCTACAATGGCTGCAAGTGTGAAAACTGGTCATAAGTCCAGTTTTCTGTGCCACTGTAATTCCGAGCGGCCATTAAGTGAGTAGCTATAAGTCAAGGACTACCTGCCGGTGGGTATTTTAAGTATGTAAATGTAATATTCATAAAGGTGTACAGATGTGGGGCGGAGAAGTGTTTTCATAATATTCTGTGAAGACTGTTCTATTTTATTTTATTTTTTGCAATTTCTCAAACCAGGCTTTCAACCTCCACTGTAAATCTTATTTTTTTTCTCCCCTCCTAGTATCCTGTATTTGCTACTCTGACTTTAATATAGATAATATTTTGCACCGGATATGTATTGCTTCCATTTGCGAAGGTTTAGCAGGATGGAATGGCCTTTTAATAAACACAAAAGAAAACGCATCCTATGTAAAATGTGTTTCTCCCTGCACTGGGAAATTATTTTGGCAGGGGTGAGCTTCGAAGTTCGGTTTATTTTGAAAACATTTTGTCATTTTTTGAAGCCTTGGCCTGGATAAATTCCAATTCTACGCAGCTATTTCAGGGGCAGAGTGCTTCTGTTTGCCAAAAAAAATAAAGACAATTCAGATCTAAAAATATTTCAGATGTTTAAAAGCTGGACTGAAAACATTAATTTAAGCAGCAAGAGGGGAAAAAACCCAGCTTAATCGTACAAAAAACAAATCAAACTGAACTAATCCATATTTCTTTCTTTGTCCCTTTCTTTTTTTAAAAAAAATCCATACTCTTTGCTGTGCTTCTTATTTGAATGGTTTTTTTTTTTAAGTGATCCGGCGGTTACTTTTTCCACCTCCCCCAACTCTGTCTTAAGTTTGAAAATTTCAAAACACATAGTCCTCCACTTACAACCGGCAGCGGTTTGCTTAAAAACCGTGGTAGAAAAAGTTGTAATATTGGGCATGACTTGCTTAACCACTGAAATTCTGGTCCTAATTATAGTCATAAGTCAAGGATTTACCTGCACTGGGTTCAAGAAATATTCAGTTTTTGAAAAAAAAAATGTTACTTTTTCTCCCCAGTAATCGAAAGAAGGGAGGGAGGGAGAGAGGGATGGAGGGAGGGAGGGAGGAAGGAAGGAAGGAAGGAAGGAAGGAAGGAAGGAAGGAAGGAAAGAAAGAAAGAAAGAAAGAAAGAAAGAAAGAAAGAAAGAAAGAAAGAAAAGGGAGGGAGAAAGGAAGGAGGGAAAGAATGGAGGGAGGGAGAAAAAAAAGAAAGAAGGAAGAGGGAGGGAGGAAAGAAAAAAGGGAGGGAGGGAGAAAGGAAGGAAAGAAGGGAGGGAGGGAGGAAGAACGAAAAAGAAAGAAAGAAGATGGAGGGAGGGAGAGAAAGAAAGAAAGAAAGAAAGAAAGAAAGAAAGAAAGAAAAGGGAGGGAGAAAGGAAGGAGGGAAAGAATGGAGGGAGGGAGAAAAAAAAGAAAGAAGGAAGAGGGAGGGAGGAAAGAAAAAAGGGAGGGAGGGAGAAAGGAAGGAAAGAAGGGAGGGAGGGAGGAAGAACGAAAAAGAAAGAAAGAAGATGGAGGGAGGGAGAGAAAGAAAGAAAGAAAGAAAGAAAGAAAGAAAGAAAGAAAGAAAGGGAGGGAGGGAGGAAGGAAGGAAGGAGAAGAAGGGAGAAAGGAAAAAGAGAAAGAAAGGGGAGGAAGGGAGGGAAGGAGAGAAAGGAAGGAAGGAAGGAAGGAAGGAAGGAAGGAAGGAAGGAGGGAGGGAGGGAGGGAGGGAGGGAAGGAGGGAGGGAGAAAAAGAAAAAGACATAGATCTATGCCCTTGGGCATAGATTTCATAATATTTTACAACTCAAGACAGTTTTATGTGCAATTTGATTTACAGTGCTCAAACAAACATGTGCTAAATGGAAGTGATTGATATCAATTTAATTTTGTTTTAGTGTTACAGCATAACCGTCAATTAATCTATTGGCTGGGTGTACTTTATTGTTTTTCTTTGTTTCTTTACATTGCTTTCAGTGCAATTTTAAAAGTGATTCACTTAACAATTGTGGCAAGAAAGATTGTAAAATGGGGCAAAACTCACTGAGCTAATTTCTCACAGCAACAGAAAGAAATTTTGGGCTCAGTTACGGGCGTAAATCAAGGACTACCTTTATTGCGCCAGATTAGCCACAAAACAAGCAGGCAACCCACCCCGTCAGTTCTTCCATGGAAAAACCGGGCTTATTAAAAAAAAACAGGAGGGGAAATCACCCCCGATGTAGAACTCGGAGTCTCTTGGTGATTGGACCAAAGTCATTCACCTGACTTTCATGGCTAAGGCAGGACTAGAACTCACCGTCTCCTGGTGATTGGCCCAAAGTCACCCAGCCGGTTTTCATGCCAAAGGCAGGACTAGAACTCATTGTCTCCCAGTGATTAGCCTGAAGTCACCCAAGCTGACTTTCTGTTTCTAGCCTGGTGCCTTAACTGCTAGCCCAAACTTGCTCCAACTGAATCTTTCCAGCAGAA